TGCCAAGAACGTGTTTCCCAGGCCCTGCACTGCGTTCCCGTCCAGAAACCACAACAGACTCTTTAAGGCTGGATGTGAGAATGCAAAATAAAACCTGTTACCACAGGAAGAAAACCAGGTCTTTGATTCATTCACTGGGGCTGGCCTGCCCTCACCCAGGGGGCCATGAGCATTCGGACTGGTCTCTTAAGCCCCTGCAGGTTTCCCACCTACAACCCGGGGAAATCTTCCAACTCCAAGACAGAGAACACACGGGGTTCGCGCCAACTTTCTTCAGCTCCACCTGCGCCACCAGTTCCAAAAAGGAAAAGAAGTAACCTTCTTTCTCAAAGTGTCCATGCCCTTAAGAACACACAGGTGGGCAATCTCTTAAAAAAAAAAAACTAGTGGCCCTCAAAACGAACAGAAGCATTTTGGTATAAAACGGCTTGAATAGGAAATGTTGAGAGTGAGCCTCAGTGTAGAGACAGCATTTACGTAAATGCTTTCCTCTGAGATCACCTGTGCTTTTAAAACATTATGGGAATGTTAATAAGGAAAATCCTTTCTTTCTCCAATGATTAAAAAAAGTCTCAGGTTATCTCTAGGAAATACAGAAATAAATTAGGCCTTAGAAATGACAAGAATTGAACTTCAAATCAAATGGTCCCATCTTTGGCTGTTAAATTTACACACATGCACACTCAACCCTACCTGAATATAACTATGTGCCGGGTAAACAGAAGAACAGATGGTGCTTGATTTCTTGTATTTGTAAGAAAACCACTGAATTAAACTGAAAATCGAGTCTCACCAACACTACCTTCTCAAAGCCTCACCCTCAAACCATCACCCTCACTCTCTAGCTGGTTTGTTTGAAAGAGCTCCCACCCGAGCACTTCCGTTACAGACCCGGAGCTCCAGGAGGAGGTCCAGTGGTCCCCACACTCAGCGCACGGGCCGCAGGCATCGTCAGACACTGCCTGGAGCTGCATCCGCAGCCACACTGCCAGGTCCACGTCTGTCCTCTGCGTTGGAAGCTGAACTCGCCCGTGTTCACAGCGGGGTCCCTGCAGAGAGGCCACACCTACAGACGCGGGCCCGCACATCCCTCCGTCTCCGGACCCAGCACCGAGCAGCTCTGCCCTGGAACGCCATCAAAGCCGAGCCACTGCCAGCACTGCCAGCACTGCCTCTCCGGCCTGGCTGGGCCCCTGCTCTCTGAACGCCCTCACGCTGCCACCTGCCATTTCCGGGAACAGAATTACCAAACTGGGCTGCGCATAAATACGCTCTGAATTTTATTCCAGTCATTTCCTGGAAGTCATTTTTTGCTTGTTTGTTTAGCCAAAGGGACAAAGGACAGAACAGAGAGAAGGAACTGGAACATTCCCTTGATGATATTTCAGTGAATTGGGGGCCCGGATATTCTGAAGAAAGATTCCTCCAATCTAGTTATCTCTACAGACACACAATCATCCCTGGTCACTGTGAGTGGACGTGTATGCATGCGGGCGTAAATTACTCATGACTGGTTGTGCCCAGATAACACACACACACACACACACTCATTCTTTCTGAAATTTGTGGATATGTAGCATATTTTAATTTAGGAGGGAAAGATTTAAGCATGGCAGTTAAAGAGGAAACATTTTTAAAGTTAATCATTAGTATGAACATCACCACTTACCATAGCTCTAATGTTTCTAGCTGTGTGGTCTCCTAGGTTTAAAAGCATTTATCAGCACCCCAGTAAGGAAAGCAAGTGTCCTGACCACCGCAGCAGGAAGGCATCACCTTTCAGCTTGGCCCAAGGAAAGGTTAATCCTTTGTATCCACAAATGGACATGCCTAGGCTGGCATGGCTCTCGACTGATGGTAGATGTGAGCCTGGCTGCTGCCCTCAGGCTGCTTTCTGGCCACTGAGTAGGGGGATGGGTTGGCAGCAATGCAGAGAAGAGTGTTCTAAGTCCTGGAAATCAGCCATGGGCGCTGCTGGAGAGGCAGCGCTTGTTCTGTCCGGTGTGGCATCAGCGCCAGACCTCGGAGGGAGGGAGGATGTCCACCAGCAGCCAGGAGGGGTGCGGGAGAGCCTCGAAGGGCTCCGTGAGTCCTGGGCAGCGGGGTGGTGGCAGCTGTAAGTAAAGTAGAGCATGAAGTGGGCATCCTGGCACGTCTCAGCCGGGGTCCAGAGAGGGGAGCAGAACCAGGACGAGACACGTGCGTGATCCCGGCAGGATGGAGCTCCACGGACAGGGTTTCTTCTCTCTCTGGGGAAGCCTTAGCCCTGATTTTAAACCAGTGGATTCAGTCAGATCCTCCAAGACCACCTCCCTTACTTAGTCAGCTGAGTAAGGACTTTGATAATGCTTCAGAATCCCTTCGCAGCCACACGGAGACTAGCGTTTGATTGAACAACCGGGACTGCAGCCTCACCAGGTTGACACACCACCATGGGGGGTTATTACTGCTAACGTAGGCGAGAGACTGAGGCACAGGCTGCCTGGGTCTGACTCTGGCTCATGATGTGTCTGTACACAAGCTACTCAGCTGCTCCGTGCCTCAGTCTCCCCACCTACAAAATGATGATATGTACTTTATAGATGTATTACCAGGATTAAACCAGCTGACACACGTAAAATGCTGAGAACAATATTGAAACAGAGCAAGCACTCAGTGAGTGCTTTCTATTTAATAATTATTATTACTGTTATTTAAGGCATGCAGGTGAGACAGTGCACATGGCTAACATGACAAAAGCTACTTTAACAGGTTGTTGCAGAGCCAGGATTAGAGTTGAGGATCCAAGGATCCAGCCCCTTGGTGGCTATTTAGCATCTGTTGTGTTTGGCACTGTGCAGAAGTGGAAATAGAATTCCCTCCTTGCTGAAACTGCATTCTTGCTGAAAATGTCAGACAGACAGACAGTAGCCAACCATGCATCTACATGTCAAAAGAAAAGAATAGAAAATGGTATCTGGAGAGCTCAGATGGGAAGAGATCACTGCCCCTAGGGTCAGTCTGGAGAGATGCCCTGGGGAGGAGTGAAATCTGTTCCTCTCCAGGGCTTCGAGAATGGGTGGGGGTGGAGGGGTGGAGAAGAGGACAGAAGGACAGACGGGAGGGGATGGCAGCAGGGGGCAGCATGGGAAAGAAAAGGCACAAAGGCCAGGAACATGATAATGGCACTTGGTTAACAAGAAAACCCCCAAATTCAAGTCTTCCAAACTAGGTACTAGATAGCACTGCTTCTCTTAGCAAAGAATTAATTTACCGTCTTCAGTCTTTGTATAGAAATCCCAAAGCACAGTCTCACAAGCTTAATACCACATCCAGAGATTAAAACACCTTTGTTCGTGGTTTTTTCTTTCATGGAGTTAGGCTTCTCCTGGTGTTTCTCCAATGCTAGGCTTTAATTGAAGAAACAGATACAGCAGCTGATGCTCTATATTAAAAAAAAAAAAGCCTCACCCGTCTGGCACAGCTGAAGGATTTTATTTTACAAAATCTATAACCAGAAAACATTGGTTTTGCCTTTTGTACTAGAGATGTGATGGAATTAAAGGATTCAAGATTGCAAAGCCTTCATGAATAATTTAGAATCCTCAAGCCTGGCAAATATCCGTGTGCTTTCTCTGTGCCAATATTGAGCGCTGACATTTGAAGAAGGTTTAACGGGGCTGAGTAGTCCTTAACTCAGAATCGTCTTCAACCACACATACCCTGCACATGTTCCTCTGAGCTGCTCTGTTTCATTTTATGCCTACAGCCTCAGAATTAATTCATTTTCAGTGTGACGGGGTCTACACAATTTATTGTAGAAAACACTTAATGGACATTTACGTAGCACATCCCAAATGATAATTCATTTTTGTTCTCATTACAAAAATGGTATTAGGCACCATTTTTTATTAGGTAGGAACCATAATGATGCTCCTTATGCAAATGAGGTAACAAAAGCGCTGGGAGGTTGAGTCCCTTCTCCAAGCCATGCCCCAAGGAGAGGCGGACCTGGGATTCAGATGCAGGCTCTCTGGCTCCTGAGTCTCTACTCTCAACCATTACAATGTCTGTCATATTGGTCATTAGGAGAGTAACAGAGGAACCCAACGGGTATCATAGATTTTCTTCTACGTGCTTGGGAAGGGTCAAGACTTTGGGTGGATCTCTGCCCAATTTGGAAAGTCAGCATGAATCCCAGCTAGCAGTTATTCTTGCCATCAACCTGGGAATAAGAGAAAATGTTCTCCATTACCCCAGCAGGGCAACAACAAGGGACAGAACACTACAAGCCGACACTGCCAAAGTGCTGGACCAGATCTATAGCCCCACGCTGAGAAAAAGGCATTGCCAGCGCTAAAAGGAAGCAGTGGGACAATTTGCAGCCCGTACCAGACGAGCAGCCTCAAGAACCCCACCAGGAGATGCTTACTATTCTGAAAAAGTGTTGAATATTTATCAGTGCAGACGCTGATTTTCCCTCAAAGGTCATAAAGGGCCTTGGACAAGGAGGTGGCCCTCCAAGTGCAGAGATGCAGGCAAAGCAGAGGAAAGGGCCGCCCCAGCCTGGAGCACGCGGGGAAGGAAGAGGCGCGCAGCCCAGCGCGGCAAGCGCGCTCGCCGGCTGCCCGGGGCTTTCGCCGCTTCCTCGGTGTGAAGGACTCAGGAGTTCGCACCAGACCCGAGCTGGGTGTGATCTGT